AGTGACCCTCAGCCAGGCTGTGTGCTTAGTTAGGACTTGAAATTTGGGCTCAGGGCCGCTGGCGAGGTGGGTAGGTTTGCACTCCCCCTGTTTTACAGGCAGAAGCTGAAGCACAGGGAGCTCAAGGAACTTTTCCATGAGGCTAGAGTGCAGTCCCTGGGGAAGGGCCAACTGCGGGCTGGTGGTTGGTGAAGGCTGTCTTTGCAAGAGTCCTGGCAGCAAGGTAGATGTGTGTGTGTGTGGCAGTGGGGCTGTGTGTGTGTGTGCGTGTGTGTGCGCGTGCATGTGTGTTTGGTGGCGGGGCTGTGTGTGTGTGGCAGCGGGGCTGTTTGTGTGTGTGGTGGTGGGGCTGTGTCTGTGTGTGTTATGTGTGTGTGTGGGTGGCGGGGGCTGTGTGTGGTGTTTACGTGTGTGGTGCTGTGGCAGTGGGGTGTGTGTGTGTGTGTGGAGGAGGGGCTGTGTGTGTGGGGGGCAGCGGCGGCTCTGTGTGTGTGGCAGTGGGGCTGTGTGTGTGTGTGTAGGCAGGGCTGTGTGTGTGTGTGTGGAGGCGGAGGGCTGTGTGTGTGTGTGTGTGTGTGGAGGGGCTGTGTGTGGTGGCTGGAGACGGGGTTGTGCTGTGTGTGTGGAGGCGGGCTGCTGGTTGTATGCTATGTAGGGAGGTGGGGCTGTGTGTTGTGTGTGAGGCGGGGCTGTGTGTGTGGTGGAGGGATGGGGTTGGTGTGTGCTGTGGAGGCAGGCTGTGTGTGTGTGTTGTGGGGGAGGCCAGGGCTGTGTGTGTTGTGTGGAGGCGGCTGGTGTGTTATGTGGTGGGAGGCAGGCTGCTGTGTGCTGTGTTGTTGGGAGGTGGGCCTGTGCTGTGTGTGTGTGTTTGTGGAGGCTAAGGGGCATTTGTGGTGTGGAGGTAGGGGCCGGGCTGTGACTAGCGGGCTGTGCTGTGTGGATGGGGTCTGGGCTGTGGTGTGTGTAGCAGGGGCTGTGTGGCTGTGTGGTGGTGGCGGCTGTGCTGGTGTGTGTGTGGAGGCGGGGCTGTGTGTGCGTGGAGGCGGGGCTGTGTGTGTGTGTGGAGGCGGGGCTGTGTGTGTGTGTGTGGTGGTGGGGCTGTGTGTGTGTGTGGAAGTGGGACTGTGTGTGTGGAGGCGGGGCTGTGTTTGTGTTGAGGCTGGGCTGTGCATGTGTGTGTGGTGGCAGGGCTGTGTGTGTGTGTGTGGAGACAAGGCTGTGTGTCTGTGTGGTGGCTGGGCTGTGTGTGTGCGGGGGAGTGGTGAGGCCCTGTCTGTGAAATAATGTTCCTAAGGCACACTGGCCACCAGTGTCATGGTGAGCAGGGAATCAGCTTCTACTTGCGGACCACACGTGCCACTCCACGTTGAGACAGGGATGTGTGGTGCTGTGTGGCCGTGTAGAGGTGTGGATGCTGTGTGGAGGTGTGGATGCTGTGTGGAGGTGTGGA